TTTTTTTTCTTTTTCCTTTTTTATTTTGTTTTTTTCTTTTTTTTTTTTTTTTTTTTTTTTTTTTTTTTTTTGGGTACCAGGGATTGAACTCAGGACCTTGTGCTTGTGCTTGAGAGGCAAGCAGCAGAGCCACTGAGCTAAATCTCTGGCCCTTCTTTGTCTTTTTCTTTCTTCTTTGTAAAATGTGTTACACTTTTATACAGAACCAAAGAAGGCAACAAAAAATTCAAGGAAAAGTTCTTCATTTAAATGATATCTATACTGTTGACCATCCTGAAGAAGATAATGAATGTGAAGATGAAATCCCACTTCAGGAAGAAGTGGATATTGAATCCAGCCATATTTCACAAGAGGAAGTTACACATGAAGAATTTTGTGTTAATCAAAAAGATTTGAATGTCCAAGAGAAAGCAATAGAAAGTACAACTGACAATCAAAAATCCATAGAAGAAGTAGATATAATAAATGTCAACATGGATAATGATCTGGAGGATTTGGCATCTTCTACTGAATGTACTAGGACTTCAGAGGGTGCCTGTTTGGAGGAAGAGAGCCGTGGGGAAGTGGACATTTCCAGTGATTTCAAACACCTTAATTTAAATGGTGCTCTTGAACCTGATGAAATAAACATAGAGATTCTGAATGATGGTCATATTCCTGCAGCAAAGGTGTATGAGGTCGTAAATGAAGATCCAGAAACTGCTTTTTATACTCTTGCAAACAGGGAAGCTTTCAGTACTGATGAGTGTTCGATCCAACATTGTTTATATCAGTTCACCCGTAATGAGAAACTTAGAGATGCAAATAAACTGCTTTGTGAAGTATGCACATGGAGACAGTGTAATGGGCCAAAGGCAAACATAAAAGGTATTGAGATTTTCTCATTGTATGTAGAATTAATAGGGGCACCTGTAGCATTGCATGGGTAGAGTACTCTCCTGTTGTAATTACATCAGGATTGGTGGCATGGATCCATTGGAATGCTGTCACAACAGCACCCTGACACAGTGGCAATCATTTTAAAGGACCCTCATCTCCTTGCACCCTGGATACTACACTTGAATTTTTCAACGTAAATGATAAGCTCAGTGCAAGATGCTGGAGGACCATGCTTTCTTGCCCCTCAATTATGGGCAGAGTTATTGACAGTTTTCCACAGCCCGCCTTTCCTCCTTTTAGTTTGCAGAAGTAGGATAGGGAGGGACCCTGGATCATGAAGGATATTTAGTAGAGTTGTTGAAATGTTTTTAAATCCTAGTTTTTAAAAACTATATGTAGTTACAAAAAATAAATTGCTTTGGTCTTATAGAAGTTTTGTTTGCTTTGCAGTAGGCATTAGCAACCAAATGTCTGTAAGTCCAGTTTTACCTTTTACCTGTTTTGGGGATAGTCTCTGAGCTAACTGAAACATGTTTTTCTTTGTTTTGCTCCATTTTTGTGGAGAGAAATGTGCTGGGCATCACTAGTTAGCCATCTTGCTGGTCTTCCACTTCACAGAAAAATTTTTTTTGTGGTACTGGGTATTGAATCTAAGGTCTTGTGCATGCTGGGTAAGCACTCTACCACCAAGCTCAAAAAACGAAAACTTAAAAGAATGGTTTTCTTGAATATATATATATATATATATACACACACACACACACACACACACACACACACACACACACACACATATATTATATATTTTACAATAAGGTAGGGAATACTCACTTTGCAACATTTTGTCTCTGAGAAATAATACTGTACTTTTATCTCATCTGTAAAAATTTGTGAGAGAATTTTTCATGCATAAATGCTTAGAAAATATCCTTGATTTTGCCTTTTGTTTCAAAGTGTAAAATATTTTTTGTCTTGTCCTTTACGGAAGTTTGCTGGTCCTTGCTTTAGATGTGTGAAATTTATTTTATGGCAAAATTGATGTTCTGGAGGTCAAAAATGATTTTTACATGCTAAAATTTCTCCTTTTCTGTAGGTGAAAGGAAGCATGTTTACACTAATGCTAAAAAGCAAATGCTAATTTCTCTTGCTCCTCCTGTTCTCACACTTCATTTAAAAAGATTTCAGCAGGTACCCCTTGTTTATTACCAAAATCTTGTTTTTAAGTATGTAATGCCTATTTGTCTCAGCTTAATGTTTCTTTGGTTTTATCATAGTTCTAATTTCACAAAAGTAGGAAAGTTAGTGTGTATGGCTAGACAAAGGTGCTTTCGTAGAGAAATTTAGGCACTCCTCATATTTACTAGAACTTGTATTACTCTTAGTAATTTGTTGCTCCGACCTTAATTTCAGATTTAAAAAACAAAACAATACAAAAAAACTGCACTACCTGTATCTCACAACTAGGATTATAGTTATTTCTGGGTGGTGTCTTAATTTTACTGATTCTTGATATAAGATAATGGACCTTTGGGTTTTCATCAGTTTCATCATTTGCTATAACATTACAACTTTGAAATTCTGTTCCAAATTCCAAAAGTACCTTTAGTATCCTCAGAACATTTTCTGTCTTGTCGGTATGAGGTTGGATACTTGAGTGGCTCTTTATTATCAGTTAACTAAGCTTGTTAGAGTGCCACTGAGTTTGTTTCACAGAAGAATCCTGCTGTTGCTGGCTTCTCTGGGTGACTACAGCAGAAATATCGGTAGCTCACGGGAGTGGCCTGCTGAAATGTGTTGGCATGCATATGTGCATGTGTGCCTGTGCATATGCACCTGGCGTTAGAAACCAACTTGGAATCAGGTAGTGGTTAGGAAGATGTTTCCCCTGAGAAGACTGAAGCAGGGCTGGATGCTAAGTGTTCTTTGGGCATCTGTGAACTATGATGTACTTACCATGCACAGCTTTTACAGGAAAATAACTTACCTCTCGTTCTTTTTTAGGCTGGTTTTAGCCTACGCAAAGTTAACAAACACATCCAATTTCCAGAAATCTTAGATTTGGCTCCTTTTTGTACTCTTAAGTGTAAGGTACGTGAAAGTGTTTTTTTTTTTTTTTTTTAATCCTTTAGTGGAGAAAAATTTATCAAATACTCCCATAGCATCTAAGTATGAGATTGAAAAGAATCGAGTGAACCTTTGAGCATTATACTTTTATATTTTAGTATCTGTGATGAATCATTTTGATTAGTTTTAGATCTGTGTTACTTTGAATCCCCAATACTATGGCATATATTAACTCGTTAACTCATGGCACAGAAAAGATGGGCAGTTATACTAATGGATAACGTTTAATATGGTTTGAGTATTAAGAGTTGAATATGCAGAACAGATGTTGTATGCACTATTCCAGTGTGATTCAGAGCAAAGGTTAGAGCTGGAGATGAAGATTTGGAAATTAATATGTATGTGGTGTTTAAATGTGCAATGGGATCCCATGTGTAAAGCCTAGAGAGAAAGATGAGAGAGCCAAGGACAGGATTGAAGAACATGAAAGACAGGTACCGTAAAAGGGCAGATCACCAAAGATCTCAAAAAACCTGGAGCATCAGAGAAACTATGCTATTATTCTATAGGTTTCAGATACTTTGATGTAAGGCTGTTAAGTGTTACTGTGTAAACTTTAAAATTAGGTTTCAAAATGAACTTTCTCCCTCCTAATTTAAAGTTTTCCAAGAAAGGTATAATTCCAAGAGTTGGTGGGTAGTGAATTATTGTTACCACCACAGGGTCGGGTTACTTCAGCCACAAATACTTTTAATTTTGAATACACATGAGGTCATTAGACATCCACCTTTGACCTGATAAAACCATTGCCTTGTGTTCATATTTCAAGGAAAGGACAAAGTGGCCTGTCAAGAGTTGAGAAAAAGACTGGAAACCGTTCATGGTTTAGACATTATATAGGTCATGGTAAACATTTTCAAAAAGTGTTGGGAACGTCAGTGAGTTGTGGAGATTATGTATGTTAGAGGTTTTGTTAGAAATGAAAAGTAGTGGATCAGTAAAGATTGTGTTTTAAAGTCTGGTGAAGTTAAGTTGGTTTATAGACCAGAGGACAATCTAGAAGTTGGAGAAGCAGGGCAAAAATAATTGTTAGGATTAATGAATAATTTCTATATTAAATGTTAAGACTACAAATGTACACTTGTCTTGCCATTGATAACCTGTGTAAATGGGACTTTTTGATTATTTTTAAAGAATGTTGCTGAAGAAAATGCAAGAGTACTATATTCCTTATATGGAGTTGTTGAACACAGTGGTACTATGAGGTCGGGGCATTACACTGCCTATGCTAAGACAAGAACTACAAATAATCATCTCTCTAATCTTGTTCTTCATGCTGATATTCCACAAGGTTAGTCTTGGAAAATTAAGGATAAATGGTTATGGCAAAACCAAAATAAAATGAACTTTTATCTTTCCACTTACATTTAACTTCACATTTCCTCTTGACAGATTTTGAAATGGAATCAACCAAAGGGCAGTGGTTCCACATCAGCGATACACATGTGCAAGCTGTGCCTACATCTAAAGTACTGAACTCACAAGCTTACCTCCTATTTTATGAGAGAATACTGTAATAACAAAAAAGTGTTTCCTCTGGAAGCGTTTATAGCTTTTGCAACGGATGTAATAATAAAAAATTTAAGGCTGTAAATCATGTTCCCTTAAGTACATAAAAAATGTTTACACAAATATTGAAATGAATTCAGTGGTATTTTGTCAGTGGTTTTTATTCTTGGCTTGTTTCTGAAAAGGAAATTTGAATTAAGTCCTCTGTGCTTAACATGTGGGTAGTGGGTCATGGCATATCAAACTGACTTACCCCAACTTGCTTTATTATTTACAAGGTTGAGCTGTATGTACTTACCTTACTAGGTAATGGTTGGCATTACACTGTTTAACTTTATAAGCACAGCTATTTGCCATAATTTTAGAAGATATATTGGTGTCGGTATGTAATTGGGAGAACGTGTCTGATGCTTATGTCATTCAGTGGGCCTCAGCTGCCCTTGCTCTGTGCTAGTATCACTGACCCAAAGCAGACGTGAAACAAGCTGAGCCAGTCTCACACTTCGGACTATAGTTCATACCATGCCTGCCTTTACACCAGCATTCTAGAGAAAGCCTGCAAACTGTCCCTCTAATAAACTGTTTTTTCACCACCTGCTAAGCCACTGTTTGAATTATATATAATCCAGAGGCCTAAGTACACCAAACCTGTCCAATCTTCTTGTAAAGTTCTCTATAGATAAACAAATCCACCTTGCCATGGCTCCAAAGAGAGGTGTCATTGCTAATACCCAATGAATTCACTCAGCCATATTGCTTCTACCAAAAACTCGTTTTAAATCCTACCTTATATAACCAATGCGTGTACTATCACATCTTATACAAATCCATGTAATTCTAATATTTTACACGTTTTTTCCCTTCAGTGCTGGGGGCTGCATCCAAAGCACTGCGCATTGTAGGCAGATGATTTACTGAGCTGTAACCTGTAGTCCCATGTTGTTTTCAGCACTCCTTACTAGAAGGTCTTAATTTAAGGTGGATCTGTTTTATGAAAACTGACTTAATGTGGTTATGTCAGGAAATATATCTCATCTGTACATAAGTATCTGTTTTTTTGTTTGTTTTTTTTTACCCAGTCCTGGGGATCAGACTCAGGACGTTGTGTTTGCTGGGCAGGCGTAGCACCACTGAGCTACATCCCTGGCCCCATAAGCATTCCTTTTGAACTTTGCTACTTGAATCTTGTCTTCAAATAGTTCATTTACTACAAATGAAACAAATTACTCAGGTTTTCCAAAACTGAGAAAAACCCTACAGATCTAGTCCAGGGTTTGCCAGACTTTTGCTGTAAAGAGCTATACACATTTTATGCTATCTGGGTCCATCTGGGTTTTCACAACTCAGCTCTGCCATTCCCTATACAAAGCATGTGACAATGTAATGATAAGACTATGGCTATATTAATAATTTACAAAAACAGGAGGCAGGGAAATAGGCCACTAATTATATTAAATCCCATAGGGAATGTGATTAACAAGATCAAACAGGTCACTCAGATCCAGTAACAGGCTTTAGCATTAACAATGTTTATTATATCATTCGGCTGAGGAAACAAAACACTCTTTAAGGAGAGTAAGAAAACAGTAATTCCTAGAGTACTACTACAAATGCTATGTTTGTCTATAGTAAAAATTAAGCCCGTCAATCATTTTGGTCTTCATCCCAGTCTTTCTTCCCACTTGGAGGTTTGGGTCCACCAGCTGGTTTTGCCATGATGATCTGCATAACAACACAAAACCCACAAAAGTATGCTTATAAAACCTTCTGAATGAAGATAAAGAATATTTTCTATTTGCCTTAAGATCAAGCAATCCTCTCAACATAAGCAATTTCTTATATATTGCAAATAAAACAGTATAGCACAAAGTTTGCTAGCTTGCTCCTTGGAGATTAAATTCTGAACTTCCAGCAGCTTGAGAAAGCAACAAAATCCAGAGATTAGTGAATGACATTCCAAGACATGCACTCTGATAACTGAAGCAGAACAGGAAAATATCTGCATGCATCACTGGTATAAGTCAGTATGGCATCAGAATTTCAACTTATACATGAGCTTCATCTTGCCAACCATCTTTATCCCCATTTCCTTGTGGTTTAGGAGCTTTGGGTCCACCTGCCACTTTTGCCATTATAAGCTAAAGTAGATAAACGTATATAAAGAAACACACTGGCTACTGACTTTGAAAACCACTCAAACGGAAGAGTGCTGATACACAAAAATCCAAGTACTCTGCTCTCTGGTAATTTATCAAGTTTATCCAAAATCTAAACCAACATTTAACAAGTACAGTTTACTAACATTTTAAGATTTTTGTTTCAGAACTACACAACGATGGCTTTGGGCTCAAATGCATTTGTTTGGATGAAGCTAAAATAGTAACTTATAGATGTTGCTTTCCAAAATTATGTGATTAATAGATCTTATATAACGTCAATGAGATTGGCTTCTGTGTTAAGTAAAAAACAGTGAAAACATTTTTACTACCATCCCTATTGGGAAGCCTCGATAAATCTAAACCCCCACTGGGCGGGGCATATGGTTCAGTGATGAGAGTTTTTGCCTAGGATGTGTTGTGGTGGCCCTGGGTTCTATGTGAGGAGAGGCTTATTAAAACTGACTGTTGGGCTTCCTTCCCTAACTGGTTCAGTCTGTTTTGTATTTTCAGTGTTGGGGATCAAACTCAGGACCTTGTGCTTGCATGTGGTGCCACTGAGCTAAATTCCTGGCCCAGGTCTAGTCTGGTTTTTAACAGGCTCTTAGGTGGTGAAGAAGTTTTTGACTGGGGACTATACTTCTATTACTCTAACCAATGGTTTTAACTTGATTTGCAAGTCTTTTTCCAGAAGATATATTAATACAATCAGGTACAGCTAACTTTTTATGACTGTAGGTTTGTTATACTAATACAAGCTGGATAATGTAGTCAGATTCTTCAGATACATCTTTATACACAGTGCATAAAGCACACACTAGCAAGCTCCCTCCCAGTTTACAAGTTTAAAATTCAGAAGGTCAAAAGAGATTTTATAATAACAAAAAAAACAAACAAAACCCAAACCAATCCAAAAATCAAGTGCTAAGATATAACATGATCTTCAAAAATTTTTAGTTTTTTTTAGTACCTCAAGGTACAGTTAATTTGTCATACCAGGGAAAACTCAAAACACTCATATCCTCTCATCACGGTCCTTCAAGTTGGAATCTGTATCTACTTAAGGACTTTATGATCCTTCCATATTGAATTATTTTGTCTCTTCATATTCCCTCAATAGCACATATTTAACTTATTACCAAGATAACTATACAAAGGGGTTATATGGCTAGAAAGTATGAATATGGAATCTTAAATACATTCATAACTATGCTATTCTAGTTCTGTAAAAATACATTACTGAGCCACACTAAAATTATTTTCAAAGATCAAAATTTTGCATTTTGCTTACCTGATCAACTCTAAGTACAGTGACTGCAGCATTAGTAGCCAATTTGATAGCCCAATATTTTCCCAGGTAAGTGTCTAGAACACCAGCTTCCAGCATGTCCTTTACAGCAGGAACTTCAGCCTGGCAACACAAAATCATTTCTACCTTTCATCTTAAATTCTCTCTCTTTTCTTTTCTTTTTTTTGATGGTACCAGGGATCAAACTCAGGATCTTGCGCTTGTGAGTCAGATGGCAGTGCCACTGAGCTAAATCCCCAGCTCCATCTTAAATTATTTTATGTGAAAATATTTTGTACTCAACAGAAAAAACTTGAATGGCTTCTTAAATAGTATTAGATAAATAAATAAGCATTAAGTACTATTACCCCATACAAACCATAACATAAAAGGTCAACAAAAACATTTCCTCTTACCATATTAAGAAAAACTAATTTTAAGAAAACCAACTATTCACAAATCAGATCACCTTTCCTCATTGATTTTCCCTTGACACATATTGCTTCTAAGTTTACATTCACAAAATTTAGCAATCAAACAAGTATCAGTGTACCTCAATATCTAATCCAACATTTTTGTTTCCTTCTTGATGTACTGCATAGAGCTTAGAGATTACTTCATTGGCCTTAACTCCAGAGTTCTCTGCCAGTGCTCGTGGGATAGCTTCAAAAGCCTCAGCAAACTTCTTAATAGCATACTGTTCAAGTCCAGGACAGGTCTAAAATAAAACATGTTTATTATTGTACTTTATTTAACAGCAGAAAGAAAATCAACTTATAAAAGAAAAATCTATACCTCTCCATATGATGTGATCTGTTTGGCCAATTCAATTTCTGTTGCTCCACCTCCAGGTACAAGACGTTTATCCTGTAATTGGTACAAAAAGGAGGGAAAAGAAGTCATCAAAAGGCACTTTTCTAATCAGATTCTAGTACTCCACCAGACTAGAATTTTTGAATTAGGCAAGTAAGAATCTACTTTCAAACTAAGAAAAAAAATGAAGACAGTGCTGGTATATAAAAAGGACAGACCAAAAACACACACACCACTAGGAACAGTGCTGAAGGTAGTACATTATAAGAAAAACTATTCTTTGAAAAGCATTTTAAAAATCATTTCTAGAGACTCATATTTATCAGGAATTGACCCAAAAGTCTCACATGAAAAATATGCTTTGCTTTAAATCCATTTTGAAGTGCTCATGATGCTGGGATTACAGGTGTGCACCACCACGCCCAGCTTTCAACTGAGTTTCTAAAAACAAATTTACTGAAAAGTACTGCTAATACTGACCCTTGTGAGAACTTTGAAAGTGTTAACACCATCATCTACTGCCCTTTCTATATCATCCATCAGGTTGTCGGTAGAGCCTCGAAGTACTATAGTAGAAATAGCACCATCTTCTTTTTCTGTCAGATATAAATACATTTGGGGGTTAGATAAAGGCAATACACACCTCACATGCCTACCAGCACATTTCCATAATTACATACCATGCTTAAAAACCACCACCTGTGTGTCTCCAACTTCTGAGAGGTAAACGCTATCACAATGTCCCATTTCTTCAAGGACAGGAGGATTCTGTAAAACAGTAACTGTGGTAATAAAAAATTCAAATAGGTTCAACTATCTTCTAATGTTTTCCAGAATACATACCAATCTAGGAAGAGCTGTAGCACCAACT